GGGCGGCGGGGCGCGCTCGGCCCCCTGCTGCGCCCCGGAGCACGAGCTGCGCGTGGTCTCGCCAGTCTTCCTGCAGCTGCCCAGCTACGAGGAGGTCAAGTACCTGCCCACCTACGAGGAGTCCATGCGACTGCAGCAGCTCGGCCCTGGGGAGGTCGTGCTGCCTGTGTCGGTGCTCGGCCGCCCGCGAGGCGGCAGCGCCGGGGAGCCCGACGGCGGCGAGGGTCGCTTCCCGCTCATCTGAGCACGCGGGGCCTCCCGGGGACCGCGCGGACTGTGCAGGGCTGGGGGCTGTGGGTGGCGCTCAGGGCCGGGCGCCCGCAGTCGCCACCAACTGCCTCGGACCCCGTGTGGCACCCCGACCTAACCTCCCGTCACCCCGCGGGTAGGATGGGGTCACCCCTCGTCCTCGCGCTCCCCCGGGATGCTGTGTTCCCCTGCGTTTCATTCGGTTCAAAGAAACGCTGGGCCGGCGCGGCGGGGCGGCTGCAGTGGACGAGCCCCAGCGCAAATTGGAAGCATGTCCCCGCCCGCTGCCTTGCCCGTGCTGTGTTCACTAGTAAGTGCCTGCGTCCCGAACCGAGAGGACACGTGAGCCTTCGGGCGCGTGAGGAGAGGGGCAGTTTTCTTTACGGCCCAGGAGGAAGGAGTGCGGTTCCACTGTTTTTCACCCACCCGGACAGGTCATGGCTCCTGGGTTGGGCAGAAAGTGAGGAGCCCTTGGGGACTGGCCGACACTGGTGACTGCTGCGCAGGGGTCTGGGAGAGCGGTGCGGTGAACCCAAAAAACCTTTCGGTGTCTCTCTGGCCAAGCACAGTCACAGCTCCCAGACAGGTGCGGGGCACCGTGCGTGGCACACGGCTAGTTGCTGTACTGATTCGGGGGTGCAGCGGTCTGTATCTAAGACCCTTATTCCTAAAACAGTACCGTGGGACCTTTGATTTTTCGATAACTGAGAAGGTATTTATATTTATTTGTCTTTTATTTTTCTATGTATGGAACGCAACAGGAGGATATTTCAGCGAATCAGTGGCAAAGTTATCATCTTAGCACTTTGGGTAGGCCAATACTGGTCGGGAAAATTGCCCACATTCTGTCATTAGGGTCTAAGAAAATGTCGGACATTGCTTAAAATGAAAAAAAGAGGCATGGCCAAACGAGGAAACGTGACACAGAAAACTTGAAGGATATCTTATTTTCACTATTTGAAAAGAATATTTTATTTTTAGTACTGTGGCATAATATATAACTTTTTATAACTGTGTGCATTAGGTAGTCTCATTGTACCCTTCATCACATAGTTATATGTAAAACCAACTTACATGTATATATGTACCCGCCATACCATGAAGCATGATGTCATGGACTTCTCATTTGGAATACTTTACACAACATGATATGAAACATAAGAACCTGTGATGGGTAACTTTTGTTTCAAGCCATAATTGTGCAGTAATGTGCTACAGAAGGATTTGATCAACTTGGTGTCATAGTATCAGTTCTGCCATTCTGTGAACTGTCCTTTAAGCAAACGATAGAACATTTTGATACATTGCATATAATGTACATATGCAGAGCGTCTACCTACTGTGTGCACATTATATACATGACAAATGTGAGAGTTTATGATTATCATGAAAGGAAAGGAAACATACAAAAGGTTTCTATGCCTGGGAAAAGGTGGATGTTACTCCAAGAATTACATAGATCTCATACATGTGTCTAGAATATTATTCTTAAGACTGCAAGTCAGACAATCCTGGGATGTCTTAAAAGATCTGACTTGTATTAGAAGAAAATCTAAGAAGTTGACTTTAAACTTTTAAGGGCTGAATCAGAAAGTCTGACAGTTCTGAGAAATTTTTGAATGTCTGAAATATAATAAAAGAAAATGGTTTATTTTAAGCTTCTAAAAGCTAGTGACCCTGTCATTAAAGAAAATCATTTGAACTGAATTAAAACAGAAAAACATTAAGACCTTTCTCTGTGCAATTTTTATCAGATATGTGGCTGTGGTTATTATTTGTTTTGTTACATGTGGTTATCAGCACTACTCATCGTTCAAAGAAACTAGAAGGTTGCTGGGGCTTTTTAAATGATGTATTCTTTTGAGGGCACACGGTTGTAGACATTTCTGAAAATTCATCCACATCTGAAACACTGACCTGAATATTCAAGGACCTGTACCAGCACATGAAGCATAGTCTAGGTGTTGTTTCTATTACATCTTAAAGAAATTTACAACAAAATTCTATTTTTAAAACACACATAAATGATATGAATCAGATGTGTTTCTATTTTATCAACCATGTAACATTTTTCTCCCTAAAGTCTGGAACCAACAAAGTGGTGATTCCACTTGATCACACAGTGAGGTTCTACTGAATTTTAAAATTATAAGTTTTCATTTTTTTTTCCTTTTTTGAGACAGAATCTCAAGCTGTCGCCCTAGGTAGAGTACTATGGTGTCACAGCTCACAGCAACCTCAAACTCTTGGGCCTAAGTGATTCTTTTAATCAGCCTCAGCCTCCCAAGTAGGAGGGACGGGACTACAGGCACCGGACATAACAGCTGGCTATTTTGTTGTTGTTGTTGTTGCATTTGTCGTCGTTTGGCAGGTCCAGGCTAGATTTGAACCTGCCTGCTCCAGTGTATGTGGCTGACTCCCTAGCCACTGAGCTACAGGTGCTGAGCCACTTTTTTTTTTTTTTTCCTCTTATTCACAATCCTCAGTTCATTAGAAATGAATTCAACTTTCCTGTTGTTTTTTTTCCTGGCAGATCACTGATTCATCAAGCACAATTTTGTTCAGGCATAATTCAATGGGAAAAAATCTTTTAAAACTATTTTTCTTAGTGATAAATGAGCATGTCTCGTGGTAACACACACATACATATATCACAGACCATGTTAACACACACAGAACTTAAGTGTTTATAACGGTGGAATCCCTGGATGGAAACATGTTTAAAGCACTAAGGGCAGTTTCTGGGTGTTTTGTTTTACCGATTTTACCTGGAAATTATTTATTACACAGAAAGAACCTATTATATGTAATTGCAAGTGTTTGTTAATATAGAAAATAGTTACTCTATCACCTGAAAAGAAGTCATGATGAAATGCTGATTTTACTTATTTTTAATAGTCTTCTATATTAAAGGTGAACACAATACTATTCCTCAAATATATGTATTAATGGTATGAAATATTAATGGAATTAATACAAACCATTAATTTTTCTGGCATATATACGTGGTATTCATCAAACCCACCTGAAAAGTGCAGTGTTCTCCATACTAGCTGAGCCTTTACTCCTGGTTTTCAGTTATCAAAGTAATTCAAATACTAAAACATTTTAAGCACATTTAATTTTCACTGACTTCTCATGAGTAGAGAAATAATGGTCTTGCATATGGTAATCCATCTGGAATGTGAGACAACATGATTGATGTTCTAAATTTATGTACTAGATAGAGAAATATCTATATATGCTTATACGTATCTATGTATATGTACACTTAGGCCTTCAGTAACTGCGGGTTCTACATCTGCAAATTCAACCAACTGCAGGTCAAAAATATTTTTTAAAAATACAAATAAAATACAGTACCACAGCTGCTTACATAGCATTCATATTTTTATAGGTATTAAAAGTAACCTTGAAATGGCCAAGCCCAGTGGCTCACGCCTATAATCCTAGCACTCTGGGAGGCAGAGGCAGGTGGATTGCCTGGGCTCAGAAATTTAAGACCAGCCTGAGCGAGAGCGAGACCCTGTCTCTAAAAATAGCCGGGTATAGTAGTAGGTGCCTCCCAGCTACATGGGAGGCTGAGGCAAGAGAATTGCTTAAGCCCAAGAGTTTGGGGTTGTTGTGAGCTATGATGTCACAGCACTCTACTGAGGGCAATGTAGTGAGACTCTGTCTCAAAAAAAAAAGAAGAAGAAGAAGAAAAAGAAGAAACCTAGAAATGATTTAAAGTGTATGGGGGGTGTGCATAGGTTATATGCAAATACTACATTACCGTCTGTCAGCGACTTGAGCATCTGCGGATTTTGCTATCTACAGATTTTGCTATCTACAGAGAGTCCTGAAATAAAACCCCCCCAACACGCCTGTGTGTATGAGAGAGTATGTGTGTGTGTATTCACCAGTTGCTTAAAAGCAATTTGTTATGAGTGTTCAATATCATAACCAAGGGAAAAATGTTTTCTTGAGCTGGAATGATACTTTTAAGAGGCCATTAATTGCTCCATTCTGCAAACGTTAGTGTGCTTCAACCATGGAAAATGGCTTTGGCAATGAGGCCAAGGGGTGTAAGAGGTACTGTCTTAGGGAAACAACATTCAATTGTAAAGGCCAAAAGGGATATGAAGGAAATGGCCTCACCTAACAGTTTAAAAGGCAATATGCTAAGTGCTTTAAGGTTGTACTTTATGTATATGGTTTCTCTCAAGTGGAATTAATAAAGGAAACAACTCACAGCTGAAACTGATACGTTATAAACATGGCGTTCAGATCTATATAATTTTGCATTGACTTTTATAAAACTTTTATGAATTGTAATTAATTTAGATTTCCAGGTTGAGAGAAATAATGATGTACATTGAGCTGTATTTTGAACAACAAGCATTAGCCATCTCTCCAAAAGTGTTAGTTTCTTTTCTTTTCTTTTCTTTTTTTTTTTTTTGAGACAGTGCCTCAATGTCCCCCTGGGTAGAGTGCCGTGGTATTACAGCTCACAGCAACCTCCAACTCCTGGGCTCAAGCGAGTCTCCTGCCTCTGCCTCCCAAGTAGCTGGGACCACAGGTACCCGCCACAATGCCTGGCTATTTTTTGGTTGCAGCCGTCATTGTTGTTTTGGCGGGTCCGGGCTGGGGATTCGAACCCGCCACCTTAGGTGTACGTGGCTGGCGCCTTAGCCGGTTGAGCTATAGGTGCCGAGCCAAAGTGTTAGTTTCATATACCAATCAATAACATGATTCGGCAAGTTTATATCTGACTTATTTAGTTTATAATTTACTTTTTCATTCTTCTTTCATCTACTGGTGTAAAAGGCTATAAAAACTGGTAGACTAAGGGAAGGTAGTTTATCAACCAAAGTAGGAATCAGCAACCAGCTAATGGCAAGAATTTAAGCCATCTTTTCATACTAGAAAAGTTACAGTATTCTTTTTTTAATTTTGCCTATGAAAATAATCAAATACCAAGTAAAACCAATATTTTGATTATACTTAAATGCA